CAATGTGTAGGCTATTTGTGATTATTGATTTTTCTTGCGCAGGGAGAGGCCCCGTCGCTTGTACACCATAGCGAATTTGTGCACAGCAGCGGGTGTGTACACCGCAGCTCCTGTGTACACCACAAGGTAGTGCACCACACTGCTTCTGTACACCACCATGCCTGGGATGCCCGCGTGTATGATAACTGATGTTGCAGCCTTGTCTTTACCAAAAAAGGTAGTGCACCACACTGCTTCTGTACACCACCATGCCTGGGATGCCCGCGTGTATGATAACTGATGTTGCAGCCTTGTCTTTACCAAAATGCCTGGGTGCATCACGATGCCCCCGTGCACCGGGCGACCTACGTGCACTTGTGCTTGCGTGCGCCACAACGCTTGCATACACAACAGATCTTGCTGCAACAGCAGAAAATGCGCGCACCAAATCGCCCAGCTGCCTGTGCACAACGCAATGCCTGTATACGCGCTGCTCACGTGCACGTCCAGATACCTATGGGCGACGTCGGTCGTCGTCGGTCGTCGGTGTCGTCGTCGTCGTCGTTCGTCGTCGTCTATCGTCATCTATCGTCGTCTGTCGTCGACAGTCGTTGTCTGTCGTCTGTCGTCGTCGTCGTCTCCCCGTGCCACTCCACGCCCCGACGTTTCGCCAACGTGCATCCAAACAACAGCACGCTGTGGCGAACACCACCGCGTCGTTGAACACAGCGTTCCCTGCAAGCTCGCTGCGCCCGCCCCCGGACCTGCACAACTGGCTGGATTAGGTTATCCTGGGCCGGGGGGGGGGGGGGCGAACCTGATAACCTGGGTTATCGCCGGACCCTGAAAAAATTATCCTGGCGAAAGACCCAACCATACGCAAGTGTGAGAACCGCAGAGCAGCTGGAACGAAGCAACAGGAATTCCCAATGGGGCCTCGAACCGTGTGAGGGGTGGGCCAAAATGGGGCGGGGCCGCCATGCGAACACTGCCACTGGGGCCTTCGGTGGAGCTCCCTATGGGGCCACGAACCGTGTGAGGGGTGGGCCAAAATAACGCGGGGCCGCCATGCGAACCCTGCCACTGGGGCCTTCGGTGGACAACCCTGTGGGGCCACGAACCGTGTGAGGGGGGCGCCAAAATGGCGCGGGGCCGCCATGCGAACCCTGCCACTGGGGCCTTCGGTGAAGCTCCCTATGGGGCCACGAACCGTGTGACGGGTGCGCCAAAATGGCGCGGGGCCGCCATGCGAACCCTGCCACTGGGGCCTTCGGTGGAGCTGCTTGTGGGGCCACGAACCGTGTGAGGGGTGGGCCAAAATAGCGCGGGGCCGCCATGCGAACCCTGCCACTGGGGCCTTCGGTGGAGCTGCTTGGGGCCACGAACCGTGTGAGGGGTGGGCCAAAATGGCGCGGGGCCGCCATGCGAACACTGCCACTGGGGCCTTCGGTGGAGCTCCCTATGGGGCCACGAACCGTGTGAGGGGGGCGCCAAAATGGAGCGGGGCCGACATGCGAACCCTGCCACTGGGGCCTTCGGTGGAGCTCCCTATGGGGCCACGAACCGTGTGAGGGGTGCGCCAAAATGGCGCGGGGCCGCCATGCGAACCCTGCCACAGGAGCCTTCGGTGGAGCTCCCTATGGGACCACGAACCGTGTGAGGGGTGCGCCAAAATGGCGCGGGGCCGCCATGCGAACCCTGCCACAGGGGCCTTCGGTGGAGCTCGCTATGGGGCCACGATCCTCGTGAGGGGTGTGCCGAAATGGCCCGAGGCCGCTGATGAGAGGAGGGAGGAGGGGGCAGCGGGAGGAGACGCGGGGCGCTGTCTCTTCAAAACGAGGACCCAACACCACAGGATGGTTGGGAACAATCTCCTGCGTGCACCATCGTGCACGCCCGAGTGCACAACAGACCCTAGGCTGCCCCGGATCGCGCGCTGGATCGGGGCCAGTGCGTTACCGCTACGAGGGGGGGGAGGGGAAGGGGGGTACCATGCGTTATCCCGTGGGTGGATACAAGTTGTTCTCCAAGATGGTTCAACTAAGCTGCAGAGAGGCTTCCACACCGAAAAACACGAGACGGCATTTTTTGTTGACTCTTAGATCTGCTCAGACCAATCCCGAGAATCGATTCGACGGCTGTCCTCCTCGTTGATCCACGCCTTGCTTCTACACTGGCCTAATAAACGCAACTCGACTGAGGAGCATGGTTTGTGGGTTGGCTTGGTAAGGGTACGCGAATCGAAGCGCCAATAACTTGATCACACGATTTGAAGCGGAGTACTATACGAAAGGGCACGATTGCGTGCCCAATGCACCGAGGCGGTTGACCAACAAATGTTTTAGAGAAGCAGGGACATGATCGGAAACCTGCGAGCGAGCCAACAACACAGCAGCATGCTGTGTTCCAGAGGCTCGGAACATATTACTGACTAAGTCTCAACTGGCGTGGGGACACGAGTAGAAGCAGGGTCAAGAGAAAACACTGGAAATATGCATTGAAGAGGGCGCACATATTGAATTCGAGATGGTGGAGCATCAATACGAAGGGGAACAGGAGTACGAATCGAAGAGAATAATGACTATAACCAGGAGAGGCGGAAGCGTGAGCCTCAGGGGTGAAGCATCGATGAGGAGTAGACGCGTCATACCAAGGACGGGCACAGTGCACGAGACATATGACAGGATGGGGAAGTAAGCGGGAAGGGACGCAGCAGGCGGGAGGAACGCGAGTGGGCATATCGCGTCCCTCCGCTGCGCACGACGCCGAGCCCAATGCGAAACCCAGGGCCGGCGCGCCCAATGCAAGGCCCGTACGCGGCGCGGGGCGCGGGCCAGGAGTCCTCCAAGGGGCTCCCGCAACAGAAAGTCCGCGAAGGCTTCCTCCTCCTCCTCCATCTCTGCCCTCTCCTCCTCCTGCTCTTCCCTCCTGAATCCGCCTCCCTCCTCGTCCTCGCCGTCAGCATCCTCCTCCCTCTCCTCCCTCCTCCTCATCCTCCTCCTCCTCTTCCTCGTCCTCGTCCTTCTTCTCCTCACCCTCCTCATTACATCTCCTCCTCCTCCTCCTCCTGCTCCTCCTGCTCCTCCTCCTCCTCCTCCTCCTCCTCCTCCACCCCTTCTTCTTCTTCTTATTCTTCTTCTTCCTAGTCCTTCTCCTCGTCCTCCCCCTCCTCGCCTCCTTTCCTTGACGCGTGGCGGCAGCCTAGTGCCCGTGGGCCTTCGCCAGCAGCCTGGCGAGCGCCCCTGGAACGAACGACATTACAGCGGCCCCGTGTGGCACTGCCAGCGATTCCGCCCGGACCGAAAGGCGTCGCCCAAAAGGGTGCAACTTTGCATCGGCGTCGGACTGGACGCTCGGGCGTGGGGGTGGCCCGAATGGGGGTGAAGGACAAGGCCCGAAAAGCGCCCTTTAGGGCCCCTGTTGGAGCCGGGCCGGTGCGCAAGAGGGGCCCTGAAAAAAGGGACCTTTTTCCAGGGCCTTCCTCTTCACCCCCCATATGTGCCATGACCTTCCAGAGGGCCACACAATAACACTCCAGACCAAAAACCTGGCTGAACAGCCTTAAACCTCGACAGAAGTTAGGAAGTCGATGTCCTGGTGTTATTTTTTAGCCCTCCTGGAAGCTCAGGGGTGGGTCACCCCCCCAGTCCAGACCGCCCGAGACGATCACGGAGCATCCTCCCCGCCGCCACGGCGCCCGCGGGCAGCGGGCAGCGGGCGCCGCGGCGCGGTCGGCACCTGCGAGGAAGCGCATGGCCGCGCCCGCAGCGCCTCCTCCTGGCCTCCCGCCCGCGGCGCCCGGCGACGGCGGGGCGCAGGTGGAGGGTTTCTCCGAAGGGCTTAGGCGACCCGTCGTCGTCCTCCTTCTCCTCCTCCTCCTCCTCCTCCTCCTCCTCCCTTCTCCCCCTCCTCCTGCTAATCCTCCTCCTCCTCCTCCTCCTCCTCCGCCTCCTCCTCCCTTCTCCCCCTCCTCCGCCTCCTCCTCCCTTCTCCCCCTCCTCCTCCTAATCCTCCTCCTCCGCCTCCTCCTCCCTTCTCCCCCTCCTCCTCCTCCTCCTCCTCCTCCACCTCCTCCTCCTCCACCTCCTCCTCCTCCTCCTCCTCCTCCTCCTCCTCCTCCGCCTCCTCCTCCTCCTCCTCCTCCTCCTCCTCCTCCGCCTCCTCCTGCTCGGCCCCGGGGGAAACCGTGCAGGCGCAGGTGGCGGCGGTGCTGCAGCCGGGCGGCGCCAGCCTCGGCGGGCCACGCCGTGCCCCGGGGCCGGCCGCCACCGCGGCGCGGGCCTCCCGCGCCAGGTACGCGGCGACCGCCACCCCCTCCCCCCCGATGTCCCGACCCGTACGCAGCCTGGCGCCGTGCACAGCCTGGCGAGGATGGCCGCTGGCGGGAACTCCGCACACGCCGTGCCGCGCAGGAGCTCGAGGGCCGCTCTCGTCGGCCTGGTGGCCCCCCGCGCCCACCCCCCTGGAATCCGCCGCGGGGAGTGACATGCCCGCACCGTGCACGCGCAGATCGAGAGGCGGCCGCGTGAGTGGTGAGGCGGCGCTCGACGCGCAGCTGCGCCCACGCCTGCATGGCTGACCATGGGGCGGATGTCGCGGTCGCCGCCTGGATCGCCGTGCGTTCACCCCGTGGCGGGCAGGCCGCCTCGCGGGCGCGCCATCCCCACTCGACCTCTGCCCACTAGGGTCCACTGCCGCCGTCAGGTATGTGCGAAAGCGCCGCTTCCTGCCCGTCCGGGCTGGCGCGTGCGCGGGCTCCTGGAACCTTTCGGGGGACCATGCCGCATATTCCGGGGTGGTGTATTCCTCCTCCTCGTCCTCATTCTCCTCCTCCTCCCTCCTCCTCCTCCTCCTCCTCCTCCTCCTCCTCCTCGTCCTCCTCCTCCTCCTCCTCCTCCTCCTCCTCCTCCCGCCGCCTCCTCTTGCCTCCTCCTCCGCGCAGAGTAGGCCTGGCCTGGCCACTCCCGAGCTCGCTCGCGGTGCGGGCGCGCGGGGAGGGTGGGGGGCGGGCGGCGGCTGGCCGGCAGTGCGACCGCCACGCAGCGGCGCAGCGCGTCCGCGGGCAGCAGGGGCCGGCCTGGCGACGGCCAACTTTTGCACAGCGCGTCGCCCTGGTGGCCCCGGCGGAACGCTGTGCTCCACAGGCGGATCGCGTGGCGCTCCGCTTCCGCGGGGCGGGAGGCCAGGAAAGGCTCGGGGCAATGACGCTTGTGGGGAAACCCAGAAAGGTACCCATACCGCTACTCTCCAGACCTCTCCTGGGTCGCGTTCTGACTGGGATTTCGAAGCGAGTCCAGCGGTGGCGACGAGAGCCTATCAGCAGGCTCAAAAAGGCGAAGACGAGCAGAGGGTAGAGGTATGGGAACCTGTTCCTCCTCTGAGCTTGGGTACTGGTCAGTGGATAGCGTGTCGCGCCGAAGCGGGGTGCGCCAGAACCGGAGGAGCGGCACGCCATCCTAAGTTTGCGACCGCAGGCGCGCGAGGCGCGCTGCCCTGGCGCCCAAGGCCTCCTGCTTGACCACCCTCTTACCTGAAGGAGCAACAAGGTAACTCCAAACATATTTTCGTCGGCGGCAAGGCAGAGGCAGGCCGAACCAGCCCGGGGCGAATCGGGGCAACCGATGGGCAAGTTGTCCGGCGTGCAAGAGAGAGAGAGAAGCGAAGACGAACCAGACATGCCACGACCTGATGTTATCAATACGGGGTCCCTCTGGAAGTCCCGACCCTTTCTCCGGGGCCTGTTTTTCATCCTGAGAATTTGGGTTGACGGTCCCGAGGCCCGGCGAGGGCTCCCCGAGGCCGAAAACTGGCAAAAACCGTATGTTTTTTTGGACGGCGCGACCATGTCTGGGCTTTGACGATCCCCGAGCCAGGTAAGGGCCCCCAGCGGCAGAAATCAGCGAAACACCTCCCGTCGTGATCTTGGCACGGCGCGAGGCGGTCAGGTCTCCTGGGCTCCAGCGGCCGATCGGGGCGATCCGGGCACCCCATCGGAAAGCGCCCTCGCCGAGGCGCAGCTGCCGTGGAGCGCCTCCTGGCGACGGAAACGCGCGCGGGGGGTTGCTTTTCGAATTGCCCTCCCCAGCCATGATCGCGACGTGAAAAAAATCTGGACGGGAGGTTTTTGCCAGTTTTCGGCCTCGGGGAGCCTTCGCCGGGCCCTGGGATTGTCAAAAAACGACTCAGGATGAAAAGAGGGCCCCGGGGGAAGGGTCGGGACTTCCACGGACCCCGCATTGGAAACATCAGGACGTCGCATGTTTGGGTTGCCTGGCCCCGGGACCGTCCAAACACGACTCTGGATGAGAGGCTGGTCCCCTGCAAGGGCTGTTCGGACCGACCTCTCGGGGCCCACGCTGTGACAGCACAGCGACGTCGGGGGCCCGGGCCCTGGACCACCCCCATCGCCTGGAGGAACGGAGCCACCATGAATGGCACGCCGCCTCGGGAAATCCATCCGCGCGTAGCTGCTGGGGAGGAGCCAGGCCCTCGGGCGAGAACAAGGCAGACGGGTCTCCGACGGTGCTTTCCCTCCCGATGGCCCTGGCAGGTCGAGGCTATCGAAGGAACCGAACTTACGACTGCACGGCCGAATCTTCAAACATAGTGCGTACCTCCAGCATGACGCCGCGCACCATCGGCAGGCACCGACCCGTGCGGGTCAAGGAAGGAGTCTGGGGACACTTCTGGGAGCTCGCTGGGCGTGTATATATGGCGACTGCCTCGCCCCCTGGTAAAATCTTGGGTCCTCCGGGGGGCCATCTGCTAAGCTGCGCTCTCGGCCCTCGCAGAGGCTCCAAAGGGGCCCCAAAAAGGCCCACAACTGGCCCCCAATTTTCGCCTGAGTGGCCCCCGGGAGCCTCCCAAAGGCACCCCAAGACGCATCCGTCTCGCCCACATCAGCGTCGTCGTCGTCACCGTCGCCGCCGCTGTCGTCGTCGTCACCCTTCGCGGTCGGCGGCAGCGGCCGTAAGGCCTTCGCAATAAAACCATGCGGGCCATTCCCGCGCGTCGGCCGCGAGCGAATTTCGATCCCCCCCAAAACTTTCATCACCGACGCGTGGACACCATCACCATCATCTACGTGACCAAAATTGGCGCCGTCATTGGACCTGCCGTCGTCATCGTCATCATTGTCACCATCATCACTACCACCATCATCGTGCCCGCTTTAGCCGAAATCACCCTGATACCGCGCCCGCCCGAGTCACCGACTCCGAGGGAAGTGCCCGCGCGGCAATGCGGCCTGCGAGACGCGCTGGGAAGTCCCCAACGGTCAGCGCGACCGCAGCTGCGGCGGTCGCGCCAACCTACATGGCCGCTCTGCGCGCGAGCATGCGCGCGCCTGCGCGGCCGCAGCGATGCGACAACCAACGCCAAGCAGGCATCGCAGTCAACAAATTACAACCATCTCTTGCAAACAACTGACGAAGTGCGCACGCGCGCCACATCGCGCGCGCATGCCGAAATCCTTGAACAAAACATAAAAAACGCTCGGTTCCGCAAACCTTCCAAACTCAAGTATCACACAAACATATAGCATGGTTTTGCAACAGTGGCTTTGAAACAAAATTTGGGCCCGCGCTTTTGCGAATTCGCCCTTGCAGACATGGGACGTGCAGACTTACAAGCCCGGGCGGGGGGAAAACCCGTCACCCCCCCTCCCCCCAAAAAGCGGACTCCCGGGATCTGGGGCTTTGGGAACCTCCAGACGGGCCTCGAAGCGGCCCCCGGGCCTCGCAGGGCGTTTTGCCAAGCCTTACCAGCACACCTAGGGCGATCAGGGGGGTCACCGGAGACATCCCAGAGACCCCCAAGACAGCACAAGAGCGCTCCAAGAGTGACCGACGTGACCTCAAGATGGCCCAAGATGCCTCTAGCACGGCCCCAAAGAGGCCTCCAAGAGCACTCCCAAGAAGGCCCCCCGAGTCAAAAATCATTAATTTTCTGTTGGTTTTTAGTGAGATCTGCGGTTCTCCTCTATTCGGCTTCCCGACGCTCCAAGACGGCGGTCTTCTGGGCGTTCGAAGCCGCCTGGGGGGCTCCAAAATCGCCCCACACCCATCCGAAAGGGCTTCCAGGCAGTCCAAAAGAGCCCCCAAACGGCACAACACGGGTCCAAGATGGCCCTCAGAGAGCCCCATGGCGGCCCAAGATGGCCCAAAAACACCCTCCGAAGCATTCCGAATCGTGATTCGGTCGTTCAGGGAGACCGCAGTTGGAGGCAGGGTGGCCCGAGGAAGCCCCCGGAGGCCCCCAGAATGCGCCCAGGAGGCCTCTAGAAGAAGGCCTGAAGAAAGCCTGAAACAACTTTTGTGAGGCCCCCAGAGGCTCTCCAAGGAGGAGCCTCCGCAAAAAATAGCTGAGGAGGATGGGGAGTGTGCGCAGGGTATGGCGAAAATAAGGAAACAGAAGCATGGAGAAAGGATAACGAAAAACATTATTATAGCGGCGATGCAGGAAAAGGCAACAAGGAGTTATCGCTAAATTGTCGGCTTGGCCTTCCTGCTATTTCGCCGGCATGCCAAACTTCAAGGACCAAGGTGCATGGCGCGAAGCACCACTCCTCTGGACGGGCCTCGAAGCGGCCACCGGGCCTCGCAGGGCGTTTTGCCAAGCCTTACCAGCACACCTAGGGCGATCAAGGGGGTCACTGGAGACGTCCCAGAGACCCCCAAGACAGCACAAGAGCGCTCCAAGAGTGACCGACATGACCTCAAGATGGTCCAAGAGGCTTCTAGGACGGCCCCAGAGAGGCCTCCAAGGGCACTCCCAAGAAGGCCCCCCGAGGCAAAAATCATTGATTTTCTGTTGGTGTTTGGTGAATTTGGGGGTTTTCCTCTCTTCCGCTTCCCCACGCTCCAAGACTGCGGTCTTCTGGGCGTCCGAAGCCGCCTGGGATGCTCCAAAATCGCCCCACACCCATCCGAAAGGGCTTCCAGGCAGTCCAAGAGAGCCCCAGAACGGCACAACACGTGTCCAAGATGGCCCTCAGAGAGCCCCATGGCGGCCCAAGATGGCCCAAAGACACCCTCCGAAGAATTCCAAATCGTGATTCGGTCGTTCAGGGAGACCGCGATTGGAGGCAGGGTGGCCCGAGGAAGCCCCCGGAGGCCCCCAGAATGCGCCAAGGAGGCCTCCAGAAGGCCTGAAAAAAGCCTGAAACAACTTTTGTGAGGCCACTCGAGGCTCCTAGAGGCTCTCCAAGAAAGAGCCTCCGCAAAAAAGAGCTGAGGAGGATGGGGGGGATGCGCAGTGTATGGCGACAAGAAGAAAACATAAACATTGAGGACACATAAGAAATAACATTATTGTAGCGGCGATGCCGGAAAAGGCAACCAAGAGTAATCGCTAAATTGTCGGCTTGACCTTCCTGCTATTCCGCCTGCACACCAAACTTCAAGGACCAACTTGCATGGCGCGAAGCGCCACTGCAGTCTTGTGTATATCTATTCTTTATAGTAAAAAACGTACGGCTCCATGAAGCTTCCAAAATCGAGCGCCCCAAAAGCATATGTAAGAAAAACACACGGCTTTACAACATCAATGGTCAAAAAACCCTGCGCTCGCGCTCGTGCGGATTCTTTACAAAACAATCGGTTCCCCCACACATAGCACATTAGGCTAATAGGGCCTCTCGTGCCGCATGTCGAACTCATTCGAACGCCCTTGCGCGCGTGCTTTTTTGGGGGGATTCCTGATCCGTGTCACATAAAACCACGCGGGCCAATCGCGCGCGTCGGCCGCGCGCGCATGTCGCATTCTTTTAGGAATCCTCATCTCCAGCGCGAGGACATCGTCATCGTTATCGCTGGGCGTGATCAACATTGGCGCCGTCATTGGCCTTGCCGTCGACATCGCCACTTTGGTCACCATCGCTACTCTCATAATCGTGTCTACCGTTGTCGACGTTGCCATGATACCGCGCCCTCCCAAGTCACCGACCCGCACTGAAGTGCCAACCTGGATGTGCCCATCGGTCAGCGCCACAGCGGCCGCGTCGGTCGCGCCAAACTAGCTTGCCGCTGTGCGCGCAAGCATGCGCGGGCGAGCGCGGCCGCAGAGATGCACCAGCCA